ATAAGCATGTCTTCATCAGTCATTTCATGGGCTCAATAACGCTGTGCGTGGACATCTGGTGCCTGGCTTGCAGTAGATGCTCAATAAATGTTAGGTTCCTATTCTCCAACCAGCAATTCCTTCCCTGCAGGAGTCAGCGCTCCGCCGCTTTGGAGCTGTTTCGTGGACACACAGTCTGACCCCTTTAATCCCCACCCTGCCCTGGACGGGAACTGGCCGCAGGTGCTCATGTGCTGCACCCTGGCTCGCCTGGGACTTCATCGCCTCCTTCTAGAACAGGTCAGGGGCAAGTCTCCCGGTCTCGGCCTTTACTGCCACCTGCTCCCGAACCAACCACTTTTGAAACCTTGTTTCCTATAAAATAGAGTTAAAAACATCGACTTTATAAGGTTGTTGAAAGGTTTAAAATGAAAGCACAGAGTTGCATCTGCTGCCCCCAGGTTAAGAGCTGGGAAGTTTCGCTTATAGTTTAGGGTCTCTGTCTTTTCTTGAAAAAGCAGATCAGCCATTATCTGGGCCTCTTCCTGTCCTTGGCAGTAGTTGCCTGGGGCAGATGGGACGCGTGCCCTCCAGTCCCCTCCGGCGCCCAGCATGCCCCATTTCCTCACACCTGGACTTCCTCACTGGCTTGTGTGGTTGTGTTTGCACATAGTAGGTGTCTAGGAAAGCTCAGCTCCTTCCTGCCTGACAGGCTGTTTGAATCTGGGTGACATGTTCGATCTCTGCTTTGCATTGGTCCTTGGTTTATGGGCTTATAAAGACACAACCTCATGAAGTGAGGCCTCGGCTGCTCCATCCCGCAGGAGGCTCACTGCCAAAAGGTCTTGATATCCTTTGGTTCAAGTTTACCGATGGTGTGAACTTTCAAAATGAAAAACACTTCAGGAGGCCAGAGATGGAGCTCTCGCATAAGCCGGGCCCCTGGACCCTCATTTCTTCTTTTGAATGATTATGCCAATCGCAAATTAGACTGGGAAATGAGTTCTTGCTCTGGAATGTTCCAATTTAAAGTGTGCTTTTTGTCTTTTAAGGGTTTCACAAATATTCATGCATTCCTGGCTCCAGCCTGGCTCTCACTTCACCTCCTTCGTGCAGGGAGGCCCCTCTGGGCTCTGAGAGGGACTTGAATTCCTGCTCAGAGAAAGTCTGAGGCCGCAGATGGTCCCTTTTCCTTCCCCTTTCAAAAGGCAATTTACAGAGCAGGGTTCACCGGGGCCCAGAGAATGGGCTCTTTAATGGGTCTGCAGGGCTTCCACGGGGAGCTGGCCCCACAGTGTGGTAGCTCTGGCTTTTGGTTTGCGGGGGGGGGGACCTGCATCCTAACAGCACCCTGGAGGCGGCCGTTCCTGGGAAGGGGGAGTGAGAGCAGAGTGGGCACAGCCTTCGGGCACCTGAGTCCCAACCCTGCAGCTCCATGCTCCGCTGTTTGTTTCCTCAGACACATGGCTTCTTTGGGTCTTATGGTCTTTGTTTATAAAATGGGAAAGGTGATAAGACCCACATTTATAGGGCTGGTTTTAAACGGCATTAATAAGAAAGTTAAAACAACCTCACTGTGGTTAATAATTCTTCATGTCCATCTTAAGCTTTTCCAATGAAGTCATCTTGGATATGGGAGCGTGGGCCATAAGCCAAGCCAACACCCTGTCCAGGCACCGAGCCCAGCTGAGGAGTTAAACAGAGCAGGGGGGTAAACAGCACAGATGCCTGCTCTCCAGACCCGTCCTGCCATATTAGGCTCGGCGTTGCCACCCAAGGAGAACATCATGGCAAAAATTGTTCTGATCCGCTCACTTACTGACCTGCCTGCTGCAGACCAAAGCCGGCCAGTGATCTGTGTGAGCTCACACCGCCTTTCAGCATTGCTCCCAGTTCATAGATGGAGAAACTGAGGGAGCTCAGCGCAGACTCAGGGCCCAGGATTTTACTGGGGGCTGGTCACAGAGGTCCCCCTGCTAGTGCCAACCTCCCAGGAGGAGGGCACCTGCTCAGCAAACACCATGTTGTTGGCACCGTGTGGGTACAGAAAGCCACTTGCACCCGTTCTGCGAATGGTGGGAGCCTCCTGATAGCTCAGCTCCCAGAAGCCAGCAGGGGCCAACCTTGCAGGCAGACCTTTCCAAGGTGGCAGCCTCAGGCCCGCTGCGTTAGCTCTTTCTGTGAAAACTGCTCCAGGACTCCTGCCAGGTGGGGAGTGTGTATGTGTTGTGTGTCTGTGTATGGGTATGTGTTGGTATGCCTGTGTGTGTGT